CAATCCCCTAACATAAACAGCTCTGTGGTCCCTAATGGCTCGTTAGCTTGAAATAATACCCTATCTCTCAGACACTGCAATAAACTGGTTTTGCTACAGATGTAGTAGTATTGTACCAGCTGGCTGTCAACTCACCAGCCTGTCCAGAACCAGTAAATAAATACTGTCTGTGGCATCATTCAAGATGTACACTGGTCACACAACCCCCCACGTGTAGCCAGACTGTCCACTCTGCATCATCATGGGAGTTGCCAGGCATGGCCAGATAAAACTTCTTAAATATGCATTTCCATGTCATGAAACAAAAGTATTCCATAGTACCTGAGGAGGAGGTTAAATCTATAGGACAGCAGGTAGCTTTGCTGAGGTCTAAATATACCAGTACCTCATTAGGCATCAGTGACAGGCTATTGGCCACAAAGGTGCATTTAGGCTCTGGCCTACATCTGAAGAGCACATGAGTAATACCCACAAAGTACTGGCTACCTGAGCCACTCTGCTATGCCAGCCCAGCATGTTACTGACCTGCTGCTTGGGAAGGGCTTGGCAAATTACAGGTTATCTGTGAAGGTCATGAGATCTCATTACTCTCTTGGTACCTGCAGCCTCCAGGTGCCCTGAAACAAATTCAGATAGTGAGAAAAATCAGGGCCCCTTCTCCCACCACCCCTGAAAGCTGCCAGCAGTAAAAGTACAGGGTAGGGGCACTGAGCAGAAACAGGGACCTGCAGACCTGAGCAGTGACAGTGCCAAGGATCCTATGGGATTTGCTAGTGTTTCTCCAAGGGGATGTGTTCTGAGAGCGCTCTGGAAAGCAGGTGTTATTCTGCACCAATAGAGCAAACAAACATATTTTCCTTGCAGCCATTCCACACGTGCACACACACACAGGATACAGCACCCAGCAAACAAGCACAGACTGGTTCATAAAGCAGAATTTTGTCCAGAGGCATAGGTAACACTTTCCTAGCTCCACCTGCTCTGACATGTCTCCCTTGGTACCCATTCATTTCTGGTGGGTCCCTTGTCTGCTCTCTGTATAAAGCCTCCTTTCAAACCACACCAGAGCCTCAGAAATAGCGTCTCTCTAACCAAAACTAGAACAGTTTCCTTCAGAAATCTGCTGAAAATCTGCCTATGTTGGAAAGCCTTCCAGTTTGAGTGTTCTCATGCTGCTCTGGGCTTGGTCAGGTCCCGTCCCTCTGACACAGGTGCTTTTTTACTGGAAGGGGGGCAATGTTATTTGTTTGACATACTGCCTCATATGCCAGTAATACTCTGTAATAAAAAGACATGGGGTTGCCAGCGACAGAAGCAGTAGCTGCACGGATCATACTTGTGTTAGAAAGACCAGCAAGCATTTCCCCTCCTGACTCTAAATTGGGAGCTCCCTCTGCAGACCTGTCCTGATCCTGCAGTTCCAATAGAGGCAAAATGCCATTTCGGCCACTTGTCCTGTCCCCAGACGTGGAAGGGTCCTGGTGTCCTCCATGACTCCTACTGCCACTGCCCAGGGAGAGGGAGCAGCTAGAGCACACAAGGCTCTGGTTTTCTTACAGAGAAACTGCAGCTTGTCAGTGCAGTGGAAGCAAAAGGGCGAGTAAGCAAGGACATGCCATGGGAAGTAAGGAGAAGGTTCAGTTTGACAGAAGTCCCTGGGATGCCTGGGAACTCAGCAAGGCAACCCCAAACGAACTGCAGAAGTGGACAAGGAATATCCCCAGAGCAAGACATCATACAGCCTTGCTGAAATAAGGAGCCAGCAAGCCCCGAAAGTTAGAGGTGCCACATTCCTACACTGTCTGCGAGAAGCAGTACTCCTAAGCAGAGCCAAAGCAGTGTCCTGAAGAAGGTGACACCAGATATAGGGCAGTAAGCCCAGTGCCCTCTCTAGAACTTTCTCCACAACTTACTAAATACCACTCAGCATAAAACTGCTGCCATCTGTTCCCAGGCAGTCCCTGGGAACACTGTCAGCAGTGTTACATCGATCCAGTCTATCGGAGACCTGAAGGCGAGAAGCCCCATACAAAGGTCACACTTGGTTTGGACACGGGATGTGTAAAAAGGCAGCCAAAGG